AGATTCGGACAGTCCGTAATTATAATTAGATTCCGCTGTCGGATTAAACGACATTTAATTTTGGACAGTCCGTAATTATAATTAATTTTTGCTGGTGTGTTTGTGTGTGCGTGGAACTTTCAAGAGACTACGTCGCGGATCAGATAATTTCAACGAGAGTAATGTACTAATTTGCAACACACTCGCGCGCGCGAACACTTTTATTGTTAAATATTTCGACCAACGTAATCTTCTCGACTTAAAAGATCAAAATACAGTTTGTGTCACGTATGAAAACGCTGATGAAAGCGCTTTCAAGGATTAAGACAGAAAAATTATTATTTAGTCGGAAAAGAGAGGCGAAGTCTTCTTTTCTGTACTTTCCTCTTTCTCTTTCTTTTTTTCTTTCTCTTTTTCTCTCTCTCTCTCTCTCTTTCTCTCTCTCTCTCTCTCTCTCTCTCTCTGTCTCTTTTTTTCTCTGTCTCTCTCTCTCTTTGCAAGAGTAAGAGTAGTAAATGTCGCGGCCGTGAAAAGTGCAACCGCGCGCGAAAATAAGTTTACGCTTTAAGAGGCAAGCATCGAAATTTTTTTTCGCCAACGTAAGACGAGGAAAAGAGAACGAGAGATCGCGGACCCGGGTAATCGTAATATAACTGCTCCTAAATGCTGAGTTAACGATCAAATCCGCGGAGGAAAGTTCTCAGACGGTAGAGAGAACGCGACGGCGAGTAAGGACGACGCGGTGACGGTAAGACGGGACCGGGATTAAATTCGCGCGCAGTTTGTAATTTGCACGCGACGGCGGCAGCGGCGGCGGCGGCCGGCTTTTCCCGAGCCACCTTTTCCTCACTCCGCTTCTTCTCCGGCTTACGGTCCCCGAGAACGAGATTAAAATGCAAATCCGAACTTGATCGCGGAATAAATTCGAGATATGATTGTCGCAAACGCCGTGTCGAGAGAACACGGTTCGTTTACTTACAGTGTTTCCAAGTTCACGATCTTGTAGTGAGCCAGGTACGTGTGACGATACAGCTGAAACAGAAATGAGAGTTTATGCATTAGATTGGAATTACTAATTAATTGCTACATATATTTGCTTTAATAATAAAAATTAAGAAATAGAAAAAAATGCACATAATTTCTGTATATTTTATATGTAAATTAATTTTGTAATATATTTATTTATGTGTGCACATGCATGTGCATAGTATTATATGATAAAATGTATCTTAATTAAAGATATCAGGCATCTTCTATTACCTTTTCTTTTCGCTTTGCAACATTTATATTCTACAGCTCTATCTTTTTATTTCTCTTTTCCCGCGACGTCTTTCTCGAAAAAGACGGGTTTTTTTAGACCTTAAAGCTTATTATTTCTCTTTCTTCCTTTCTCGCACTTTCTCTCTCTCTCTTTCTTTCTCCCTCTCTCTTTCCCTCGATCGCAAATATGATTGATTTGAGAAATGCGCTGTGCGCTCCCGATAAAAACCGATGGGAGAAAATCGATCAAATGTTGCGCGAGCGATGACATTCAAGCGCGATGGAAATTTCTACTTCTGAGCGTGTGCAGCAGCGTTAAAAATATCCGCTTCCGTGCAAGCCGTCTAAGTGCGGCCGAGAATACACGGGTGACATAAAATACGATAACATGCCACCCCACAGATTCTATTTCGTTACCGCATTTTGCCCTGGGTTTTCCTGACGGTTCCTGCCCCCAATGTGCACGTGTGTGCATGTGTACGAGTGCGGTTGGGTAGTTCGGCTATAAAAACCTCTCGCTCGCTCGCGCGCGCGTTACTCGCGTCATTCACGTGGCGCAGATAGAGCGGCAAAAATATAATAAAGTCGGCGCTGATAAAAATAAAATACAACCCAAGCGCCGTGTGTGTTTTTACAAAGCACGCGTGCGAGATTGGCGCGCAGAGTAGAAATAATAATGCAATAAACGGGCGTGTGTCTCTTTTGTTACGTGCGCGGTTAAACAATTAATATAAAACTATCGAGTTTCACCTACCATCAGAGATGCGATTAAAACCTGCGTAAAAACAAAAACTCATTTACTAATTTTGCAAAAACGGACAATACAAATCTAATCATGAATCAAATAATTTACTTGCGTTAAAACAATTAGCGTTGCGCAGTCTCTTACATATGTATATATGTATGTGTGTGTGTGTGTGTGTGTACGTGCCACTGAATTTTTATAGAGACGCAGAAAAATTCTAGTAAAAATTCGCGGAAAAATCGGCATATGAACTCTTAGTGAATTAAACTCAAACAGAACTGCAGAAATTTAAGAGGAGAAATTTTAAGAAAATACCAACGGCGTACTCTTATTGAATACTGTTCCATTAGATATCAAGTCCGCAAACTCCGGAGATAGGTACACACTCGCGGGGGTTGCTCTACTCTTAGAAAGAGTCTCGTTTAATCCGACCGTACCTCACGTCTCTCGGCTCTTCTCTTCCTCCCCCTTCCTCCTCCGCACCATCTTCCACTAATAATAATCATAGTAATAAAAGCAATAACCGGATAACCTTGCGTTTGAAGTTTAAACAGCAAGCAGTGTAACACACATATAAACACACACACACACAAACATCGCGCGTGCAAATTCATCGGTGGTGGATACGTAAACCACGCTTAGAAGTTTAACGATCAAAGTTCCCAGCCATGCGGTGGATCGCGGGAGTTTCCCGGCAACGCGCCTATTTGCCGCAAACATTAATTATCAATAGAGCCGAATCACACAACTTCGAGAATAAATAAAAAATAAAATAATCATGGTCGTAAAAAAAAAATTACAAAAAGAAAAAAGAAACAGAATTGAATTTGCCAATAGTTTACGATTTCCCGCGCAATTTTCTACATCACCTGCATACGCGACTTTTTTTTTTTTTTTTTTAATTGTTTTCCTCGGTAAAATATATATGTTCTGTCGAAACAGCTGTTGTTTGCTGATGGCCGGACAATTCAGAGCGCCGCAACAAACAACAAGCATTAAACCCGTACGCGTGTTGGTCAGAGGGACCATTAATGCGTGTTAATTGGTACGCGCTCGCTCGCGCGAACTGAAAACCCTCGCCCCCCATAGCGATATTCCTATGGGAACATTTCGGAACAAGGGAAGATCCGGACGGCCGATAGAGAGCGAAGCGTCGAGCGGACCATCGACAGTGGCCGGCGATACGGAAGGATTCATGGTGCGCTCCGCGTGTGCGCGCGCGCTATTTTGCCTCCATTAACTCTTTCGAGGGCGGGAAGGGGAGGGAGGAGGGAAAGCTCCGAGCCTATAAATCATCGAAGGCCATTCTGATAAGGTTGAACAACGCCATTTTCACGTGTTGCGGCCGCGCTCGCTATCGGCCGCGAGCTCGTTTCCATCGCATTATTCCCGCCTTCAACACTCGGCCGAGTGTGCACTGCCCTCTCTATCAAACTCCCCTTCGGTTACATCAGCGTTTCTAGACGTGTTTCTTCGCGCGCTACAACACGCTAATAACACGCTGTTCCGGCGATGGCCGCGATAGTGAGTCTGATTTAAAAAAAAAAAAAAAAAAAAAAAAAAAAAAAA